AAATACCCCCTGGCTCTAACCTTATTAACGATGTATTATTCAATTCCATAATATTTGAAATGTTATTCTCCTAGTCGAGAATAATATTTACATAATAGTTAAAATGTCGAACAAGGAAATTCATTTTCAAATATATAGTGCAAAAAAAAATGGTGTAATATACCGAGTGCGTCTCAGAAGTTCCTCACCCCTATAACTTTTCAGATAAAAAAACGAGAAATAAGACATAAAATAGGATTGATTTATGTATTAGATTGTTTTAGGTCACTTCCTGTTTCACCGGAAATGACTACAACTTTTGATGACACCCTCGGTATATTTCTACTTTATTTCATAGAAAATGACACTCTGAATAGAATGACATTTCATATGTCAACTTTTGACGTTTTCTCATATGGTTTATTCGAAATTGTATCATACGGTTCATAACAATTTGACTCGAAATACCATGTGTAAATACCATGTTCTAAATATGCTAATGAGCCACCATCATTCTATTTGAAATAAACTGAGATATGATTAAAATACGATTTGGACACCTTTTAACCGGCCAGAACAAGACTCGAAAAACATTAGATGATCAAATATATTTTTGCAAGGCTTGATTAAAAATTAGTGTTTTCAAGACAGCCATGACACTCTAGATTGAAATTTAAAATAAGACATCTTCTGATAGCCTAGATTTATGCCTGAAGGGTGCTGGGGTAGATGCCCATTGATTCGGAGTATTTAGTTTTTATTTTGTTTTTGGCCCTCCAACTCCTATCCCTTTCCCTGCTTTGGTTTTGGAAGCATCAGTATACCACGTTATGGTATGGTCTTTTACACGCTGAGCAAACGTTTCTCTCTTCCCAATCCTTTTTATTACTCAATACTACAGCGAGGTGTTTCTCAAAGTTGTAGATTCTTGGTATGTCATCCACTGGGAGTTGGAGAAGTGGAATTTTCTTTTTGAAGGTGTTCCAAGCCCATGACCTGAAAGTTCTCCCAGTACTGTTTCCGTCAATGACCATTCTAATAATTGTCGCATTGGTGGTACTTGTCAAGGCTTAACAGATTGACTTCCAGTGTCTTTGTATTTTAAATACTCAAGCACGAAAAGAATATATTGATTATATATCTGCCACATTTAACACAATACAATCTGAAAACTGTATTATCAAAATGTTGGATAGAATTTAGAAAGATATGCAAAACTAAAAATTACAAACTATATAGCAATTTCTATGAATAATTTTGACACTTCTGACTGTGGAATGGATTGGAATAAAGACCCTAGCTTGATATTTCAAGTTCTAAACTTAGAACGTGACATAATCTCCTGCAATCTCGTCCAATATATTTTATACCACCTTTAAAAACGATTTCGTTCTAACGGTCACTTTTCTTATTGGCTAATGACCAGCATTATTTACCGGCCCACACTTTTTGTACGAGACTATGCAATAGGTATTTCAGCCTTGAACGGTTGCTTGATACGGAAGCAGGAAGCGTGTTCGCGCGCGGTCGCTATTTTGATTGATCTTCTTCTATGGACGGCTTTCGCGGTGCGAAATTGGTCGCATCGAACGGCTTGAGTACTTTTAAGTGACTTGGTACTGGTCAATTTAGCGCCATTAAGGACGTTTTTATTGGTAAACCGAACAAAAAACACTTGCGTGTGTAGAATGGAAAAGTTGAGGTTTTGTATCATGATGAATAAAACTTTGTTTGTCTTATTCCTTTAACAAGTACTATTGGTTAGAATAAAATACTATTTTTGGAAATATCACTTTGTTTACTTTCTTTAAGCTTCATTTAGAACCTCGCAAATAGTGGAATAGTAGTTTCAATTACACTTTATACTTTTTAGTTTACGATGTCTAAAAAACAGAACTAAAATTAAAATAATATTCTAGTAACAGCATGCGGTAGTCAGTTAAATAAATGCCTCTATTGTCAAAAAATTTTTCAATTTGTAGACAAAGGTAAACTAACAAACAAAGTAAAAAACAAGGTACACAAACAAACAAACAAAAGATAATACAAAACATTATACAAATAATATTGTCAGTCTTATTGTTAAAATAAACATTTATAAAAGTCTATAATGTCAAAGAACAAAAAAATAAAAATAATATTCAAAAATATTTAGCTAGTTTATAGTAAAATATCAATGACCTCTAAATAAATTCATTTCGATGTCATTAGTAAATATAGCAATAGCAAACATTAGACCAGTGTTTTTAGAAGATCAAATTTGATTTTCAAAATATAATTCATTTACGGCGTAGAAAGCCTTGTCTAGTAAATAATAGTTCAATGCTTTGCGAAATGAAAAAAATGATGTTATGGATTTGATTTCAAATGGTAGGTGCATTTTTTCGAGTTGTATAATATTGAACTTTTAACTAACTCTGAGCGTGGGATAGGTAGATAAAGATCTTGTTCCGCGTTCCTGAGTGTATAAGTGTGAGATGGCCTTTCTTGAGAAGCTGATACATGTTTACGTATTAGGCAAACGGATGCAAATATAAATAAGGAAGGAAGAGCAATATTTTTAATTTTTAAAAAAGTCCCGGCAATGAGTTCTGCTGTTTAGTCCCAGTGAATATCGAACAGCTCTCTTCTGGAGCCTGAAAATGCGGTCAAATTGAGTCGCACAACACGTACCCCAGAATGGAAGGGCATACCTGAGGTGCGACTCAAAAAGTGCATAATAAACAGTTCTAGCCACTGACAAGTTAAGCTCCTTAGAAACAGACCTTAATGCAAAACAGGCAGAGCTCAATTTTTTCGACAAAGCTTCGATAAGTATGTCCCATTCCAGAGAATTGTCCAGAACAAGCCCCAAGAACTTTACAGATTTGACGACGTCAATGGTGATGTTGTTAAGTACAAAAGGCTGCAACGAGTTTTTATACGACAAAGCTTTAGTTTTAGAAATGTTGAGACTCAGGAGGTTCGAATCGCACCAAGATTTAATGGTGATTAAGTCATTTGATATAATCCTATGAAGTTGTATCCATAGAGAGAGTCTAATATTTAGCTTATAAAACAATCAACTTTTAATTTCTAACCACAACTTCTTTTGACAGATGAAAATCAAACGCCAAAATGACATTGGTCGCAAATTTTGAAGTATAATTAGTGGAAAAGTTAAAAGTTTGTTAACTTTTTCTATTAATTGAAAACGACTACCACTAATTTTGACGTTCTGAATGCTTACATTGAAATTAAAGGAACAAACTTCAACGCTAATTGAAACAACTAATTTATTCCACTAATTGCGACGTTTTGTATAAAGCTTAAAGCTGTGCACTTGTTTATTTTCTCAAATAATTACACACCAATAGAAATGTATTGCTACTTATCTATTTATAATATTAATATCATATTCATATTGGATAATTTCCGATATTCCTTTTAATACCATTATTTTATTATGGAACACAATAAAAACATCATTAGGTTTTGTCAAATCCAGGATATGGGGCAGATATAAAAAACACCTACAGAAAAGGGGAATATTGACACTTTTATGTTGTTATATTTTAGAACGTAGAACTCTATGCTACGTAATACGAACAACACAATTGCAGCGAACAAAATATCTGCGTCTGGAAATATTTTCAAACTCCAGCGTTCATTTTGCTCCAGCTGTTTTTAATAAATTCTCTTTAAAAGCACGAAATTTACCAAAGCATCAAATGGTTACTACAGTAAAGAAGTATTTTCTTGATATGGCCTATTTTAGTGTTATTGATTTTTTAAATATCAGGACACTGCTTAGTTTAACAAAGCTTAGTTACCAGAGCTTAGTTTAACAAAGCTACTAGACTGTTTTTAAATGAACCTGGTTATAGAATTTGGTCCATTTTTTCAATACTTCTTTTTAAATTGTAATAATTTAAAAAAAAAATAATAATGTGAAGAACATTATTACCGCACATTATAACTGCGTGGTTGTTGGGTGCAACAACACTCAATACAACTCTCCCGAAACAACATTTAATGCTGGAAGTACATACCGAGGCGACGCGACCCAAGGCGCGACAAAAAAGGACGGTCCTAACCAATAACAATGTACATATCGTTAATTTTTTGTCGCGCCTTGGGCATAGACAAACTAACAAAAGCAAGACGCGTCAACGCTGTACTGCAAAACGGTAACAAGTTTGATAAGAGTTTATCACCGCGCTTGCGTCAACTGGCCTTTTAGACGAGGACGGTTTCCTTATGGATTGTGTATTTTGTAGTAGCCTTTTAGACAAGGATGTTTAATTAAAAAGTGTTTATTAAAATCAAATAAATTTATTTCCATCGGTAAAATAAACAATAATTTCTGGACATAACAGATATAAAAACAAAAGTTAAATAAACGAAAACGTATTCCTCTTATTAAAATAACAAAAAAGATGATAAAAAAACAACAGTTATGGTAAACGAAATAAAAGCATTATTCTTCAAAAGGTACAAAAAAATAATTATGTATATTATAATATTAATAATAGGAACAACAAGAAACATCTTAAAAATATACAACTTTTTCAAATATAAAACAAAAACATAAACTTCACATTTTCACAAGAATTTGCAAAAATATTAACATTTCGAGTCTATTATAAAATATAAAGCACGAAAATTCAAATCATGAAAAGATTAAAAAGATAAAGATTCTTATAACTTACAGTGAATTTGTAGGACCTTCGTTTTGTCTACGTTAGCGATGTAATCACAATAATATGTATAATCACAGTAATTATTATGTTCTTCATAAATGTAAAATGTATTAAATTATTTGTTTTCGTTTTGTACGCTAATAAAATAATAGTAATAACCAAACAAAACGCAAAATCAGGAATTCAACAGTTCGTTCAAGGATGGTTCAAGGCAAAAACGTTTTTCGTTTTATTTAGGTTAGGTTTGACGAGTGCGACTGCGCGATGATTTCTGACTCAACTGGCCAGCGCAAAAACAATAATTCGACTTCCTCAATCCTTTTAGTCCAAGATCCCAGAGCTCCCAGACGTCACTTATTTTCTGATGGACAAAATATATACGAGTGAGTAGTGGTGGGGTGTGCTATGATCATATGACTAGTTGCTACCTTGGCCAGACGGCCCTTTTTCAGGTAGCAATTAATCAAGGTACATAGAAATACTGCTCACTTCACTTAAATTCTGATAGCTGATTTTAACATATATTTCACACAATATCGTTAAAAATCAGGATTCATTACTCCCAGACACATGCGGTCGGCGGTTTTACCTTACAGACGCTTCAAAGCTATTAAAAAAATTAATTAAGGTCACTTATTTTCTGATGCTTGATTTTTATATATGTTATTCAAACAACTATTTTAAAACGTTTTGCAAACGGACAGACCGATCCAAGGGGCCAAACATTCACCAGACCCAATTTTCATGTCGCTGAGAGTAGGGGCACGGGCATTATCCGTGCGCATAAGTGCGAGTGAGACAGACATGAGTGTCATTGCTTCTCTCCTTCTATTCGGTTTACTCTTACCCACTAGTTAATGTATCGCGTCTGTTGAGTGCGTCAGCTGTGTTGTGATTTAAGTAGCAATTCGTATAAAAAAATACAAATATTTGCAGTGTTTGAAAAAATATAATGGCTAATTTGTTAAATTGTGTATTTTGCAATAATTGTGATGAAAATTTAATATTATTTACGGAAGAGACATTAAAAAAGTGTCGAGTGATTTTACAGCATAGAAAGGAACATAACCTAAAATTTAAAGACGTTGTTTTGCCGGGTGAACTATTTGAAAGTGGTTATCACAGAAACTGTTACAAATCGTTTACAGGGTTAAATAAAAAGTACTATTTACCAAAAAATACGGCAACCGAGAAAGCTAATTCAACAGAAAAGTTATTAAGCATTGCAGAAAATTTATCCACTGATATCTCAACGACAGTTGAATTAGATACACAATGTATTCAGCCAGAAGCATCTACGTCTCAACATTTTAATCCAGCAGCAGCTGTTATACCTGACACTACTACAATACCTAGCCCATCTGTCTTACCTGAGTTGGTCGAACCGGATTTTCCAAGATTAGAAGAATATATTGATCATCCTGAAAATATTGATTCACTTTCTGACAGTAATACTGCAGTTGATATCGATGTAAATAATTCTCCAAATAATCTTACTTGTATATATTGTGATCAAAAAACTAAAAAGCACAAGTCTAAACGATTGCCTCTAATTACGTCAGATAAAAATGTATTTCTATCTAAAGCTAAAAATCAATATGAAAATCATACAGAATTCTTGGAAAAAATTGTAAATTATCCACATTCTAAAATACACTATCACAATATCTGTCAATTAAATTTTTCTTATGAAACTTCATCAAACAAAAAAACTACTACAACTCATTGGCATAGTCTTCGTGAACAACACCGAGCAGCTTTTCATGAAATATGTTCTTTTATTGAAGAAAATATAATTCAAAAAGGACGGTGTTACTTCCTGAGTTATATTTGTCGATGTTATATCGGATTATTAGATGAAAGTGATGAAAATAATGATGTCGGAATTAGAGGGGATTTTAAAGCACACATTTTGGAATCAAAAATTAAGAAAAAATATGGTAAAGAGATAAAAATTTTTATTATTCAGAATAAAAAATTAGTCGCGCCGAAAAATGTAGTGGCTATTGATGAGCAAACACTCGAAAGTCTAAAAGATGAAGATATTTTACTTAAAGCTGCTCTATTATTGAGAAAATCTGTTTTACAAGCTGAAAAAAAAAAGTTACCTCATAACTTAACAATACAACATTTGCAGGACGGAGAAATATCTGTGCCACAAGATCTACTGGACTTTTATTCTACTTTGATAGCCGGTAATAATCGAAGACGTAAAAATAATCAAAAGTGTATCCGTCAAGTCAAGTCATATTGTGAAGATGTCGTCTATAGCATTTACAATGGAAAAATAAAAACATCAAAGCATATTATGCTCGGAATGGCTTTAAAAAGTCTAACAAGTAGCCGCAAAATTATTGATATAATACATAGATATGGGCATTGTATCAGTTATCCTGGAGTGGAAGAGCTCGAAACAGAAGCAACATATACATCAGTTGAAAAATCAAGTGTATGTCCTGAAACAATTAAAAAATCACCAGATCTCTGCACCGGTCTTGCTTTCGATAATTTTGATCGTTTCGTGGAGACAAAGACTGGTAAAGATACATTGCACGATACAGTTGGTATTATTTACCAGAATATTGATATGAACACCCCAGATGAACCGCAATTAATAAATATCACCGATGCTCATACCGAAGTATCTATCAACTCGCAAAAAAGGAGACGGAGAACTTTTGATGCTATTTCTATGGAAATTAGTGAAGAACCATTGGTTAAAAAAATGAAGATAACAGATCTAGAAGCGTCAGCTTGTGAAGATACAGAACCTATAAATTTACCACTGTACAAAACGATCGATACGCTGTGGATGTTTAGCCATGCTCTCCAGTTACCGAATGTTCCAATGTGGGTTGGATTTAATTCTTTTCTAGTTGACAATAATAGCCCACAACAAATAGTTTCATATCTAACTCCAATAAATCAATCGCCTACTAACAAATCAGTAGTTTTGGAGACTATGAAACAGAGTCAACAAATTTGTGAAGAAGTGAAGCAGTCATCCATCCAAGTTACTTATGATCTTGCGATTGCAAAAATAGCCTTACAAATTCAAGCTAGCCACAAACCAGATCTTGATAATTTATTCATACATTTGGGGCCATTCCATATAATGATGGCTTACTTCAAAACTATAGGAAAATTTATTATGCATTGTGGCTTAACAAACGTCATGGTACAGAGTAATTTATTAGCATCCGGCTCTGTAAATGGATTTCTGGAGGGAAAACATTTCAATAGGTGTAAAAGGCTTCACCCTTTGATGGCTGTAGGTTTGGAAATTTTACATTTTAAATCGTTTTTGGAGAGTAATAATATTACTATCAGTGATCAAATTATCCAAGAAATCACACGACTAAGAACGTCTTCAATATCTTCACTTACAATTGAGGATGACGAGCTTAATGCATTATTACAGAATTATGATATTTATAAGCAAAAAACCCTCAATGGCGAGTTTGGTAAAACTCCACAGTTTTATTTAATCTATATAAATCTTGTTCATCATTATTTAACCTTGTCAAGAAGCATACGTTGTGGAGATTTTGAATTATTTAAGTTTGTACTGCCAAAAATTACTAACTTATTTTTCATATGCAATCAACAGAATTATGCTCGTTGGACAGTTAAATACAGTAATAATTTGTTAAAAGTTGCCGAAACTCATCCTGACTTGTATGAACAGTTCAAAAATGGTTTTTTTTGCATTCAAAGAACTAGTAAGCCTTTTTCTAAGCAACCGATTGACTTAGTCCTGGAACAAACCATTAATGCAGATGCAGCCAGGAGACTCACAGGTAATGAACATTAATGATTAATAAAAATTAAAAGGAAAATTGAAAAAATATATATATAAAGATTAATGAATATACATGTCAAAAAAGTTAATAAAATTAAAAAAAAATAAACAAAAATGTCAGAATATATGAAAATAAATGAATATGTCAAAAAAAATTGAATATACAAAAACCGTAAATTTATATTTTTCAGGAATAATCCAATTCACCAATTCCATATCAGCACGCCAACGATGGGCTCGCAGTCATGATATACGATCAACAATAATTAGTTCTGTTTATAAAGATCTAGACTTACAACAAATACAAGATGTTACAGCCGAGGTGTCTAATCATAATATGAAGAATGATACCAAACAATTACAAAAATTTATCGACGAATTCGATCGATTCATCAATCCGTTTAGTCCTGAAGTACCACAAGATCTTTTGCTTAATATTTCATCTGGAAAAGCAGCCTCAGAGGTCGTAGAAAAATTTCTTCTCAATGTTGAGAAGAATGGAGACATAAGACGTCAAACATTCATCGCAGAATGTAAAAACGATGAATATAGGTTCGAAAAGAGCATAAAAAAAGTGCCACTGGAAAACTTTTCTTTAGATTATGCTAAGAAAACAACAACAACTAAGGTAGGTGGTAAAGTGCTAGAAGTACGTACTCAAAGAGATCTGTTTGGGCGGATGCTTGGAATATCGATTGATCACAAAGTCGATATAGCCAAAATTTTATCATACCCCATAACGCCAGTGCCATTATCCATGTGTCATTTCGACGGTGGCATCTGTAAAACCCAAAAGTCGGTTCTGATGAAATCATTGGAAAAAGGCGTACAACACAACCTACCTTCTCACATTGATATTTTGATAATTGATGGTTTCTTTCTGCTCTATACTATGAATAATGTGCCTAAAACTTTTGGAAATATCGCAAAAAAATTACTACAAATGGTGACACAGTTGAAAGCCACGAGATATGATGTCATATTTGATCAGTATTTTTCCCCTTCCATTAAAGATTATGAAAGATCTCGCCGATATGAATCATCACTACTGGAATTCAACATTACTGGGCCAGATCAAGTTCGTCCATCAAATTTCACGAAAGAGTTAAAAAATATCCACTTCAAACAGGCTCTCGTTGATTTCTTCATATTGCACTGGACTAGTGAGGAGATGATTCCATTCATTGGTAATAATCAAGTTTACATTAATTTTCGACAATGTCACTCTTTCACCGTGAGTAATAATAAAGTTATGTCTGAAATCAATGAAGATTTATCGTGTCCCCAGCATGAGGAAGCTGATACAAAGATTGTTTATCATGTTTGCAACACTGATGCTCGAGCTAATTTTGTGATACGATGTTCAGATACGGATATTGCAGCGATAATGCTAGGAAATATGCATCATTTAAAAAATGATGATTCACACGTGTGGATATTAACCGGCACTGGTAACAATCAGCGATATGTTGATATTAGCAGTATCTACAAACAGTTAGGACCGTCGTTATGTCGAAGTCTACCAGGATTCCATGCTATTACTGGATGCGATTATAATCCCGCATTTTTCAAAAAGGGAAAACAAAGGCCGTTTAGTATTCTTAAAAAAAATAAAGAATACCAACAAGCATTTCTCACCTTTGGCACGTTGAATTTGATCGATGATGTAGACGAAGAAGAACGTGTATTCAATATAGTACAAAGATTTATATGTGATGTTTATAACGTACCAGGAGTAATGGATGTAAATGCTGCCAGACTTCAGCTGTTTATTAATACATATATGGTATGTGATGTTAATGAAAAATTTATGCAAAAAAATATGAAAAACTTCGATGCTACTAACTTACCACCTTGTAAAAGCGAACTTCGGCAACAGTTTCGACGAGCTAACTATATTGCTAGTGTTTGGAACAATGCTAGTGCAAAAATGATTAATATTTTCAATCCCGAAAATTTTGGCTGGACATTAGAAGATGATAAATATCATTTTCATTGGTTTGATGGAGATCAATTGCCGGATTTTGTCAGTCAGTCCTTGGAGGAAGAATTAGGTAATTTATTTTAGCTTCTCATAATTTTGATGTCTCTTTAGTTTTCCAAATCTTAATTGGTTGGTTTGTTTTTACTTTTTTACAGCGAAAACGCCCGAGGAAAATACTGATGAACAAGATGATGATTTAGATATTCAATATCAAGATAGGATCGATGATGAATTACCTGACTTCAACGACGATGACAATGAAGATTAGAAGCCAGTCGAATATTTACAAATCAATCTTACAAACTTATGTAAAAAAATATTTGTCGATTTTTGATAGTTTTTTAAGGTTCGTTACAAATAAATAATTATTTGAAAAGGTTGCTGTTATTTAATTAAATTATTAATACTTTGTAAACCTTTTGATATTTACTTTAAAAATTTAAAATTAACTTACTTAAAAAAATTTAAATTAATAAAACAGTTTGTAAGGTACAATTGTATAATTATTGCGGTCAGATGAGCACTTTTCTCAAAGTTAATCTTTGATTATTTACGTGATTTTCAAATAGAAGGAGAGAAGCAATGACACTCATGTCTGTCTCACTCGCACTTATGCGCACGGATAATGCCCGTGCCCCTACTCTCAGCGACATGAAAATTGGGTCTGGTGAATGTTTGGCCCCTTGGATCGGTCTGTCCGTTTGCAAAACGTTTTAAAATAGTTGTTTGAATAACATATATAAAAATCAAGCATCAGAAAATAAGTGACCTTAATTAATTTTTTTAATAGCTTTGAAGCGTCTGTAAGGTAAAACGGCCGACCGCATGTGTCTGGGAGTAATGAATCCTGATTTTTAACGATATTGTGTGAAATATATGTTAAAATCAGCTATCAGAATTTAAGTGAAGTGAGCAGTATTTCTATGTACCTTGATTAATTGCTACCTGAAAAAGGGCCGTCTGGCCAAGGTAGCAACTAGTCATATGATCATAGCACACCCCACCACTACTCACTCGTATATATTTTGTCCATCAGAAAATAAGTGACGTCTGGGAGCTCTGGGATCTTCCTCTATTTGAAAAGTCTTGCTTTTGTTAGTTTGTCTATGGCCTTGGGTCGCCTCGGCGAGTGTGTACTTACCAGCATTACAATTTTTCAGCTTTATCACACCAACATGATCGAACTAGTGCTTAAAGTTTTTATGGACGTGTTCTAAAATTATAATTATGAAGGTACCTTTATTTTTTTAATGAAATGTGGTTACGTACGGTGGTAACACCGGCGGAGAATGCACCAAGCCTATTGCGCTGGATTATTTATAATACTCTTTGGTTTATCTAGACCTTTTTTATGCTATAAAAAGCTATGAATTTATTTGATAATACATAAAAAAAACTCTAAAAGCAACCAATGCAAGCCGGCCTTAGAGCGTATCCAAAGCGGTGGCCTGTGACGAGCACTACGGGCGCTTAAGACCCCGTTATGGTCAATTTTCCCGAATTTTTGAAACGCGAGATTGAACCACGCCCCAAACGCGTGATTTCATTAATTATTTCGACGATAAAACAGGCCGATTTATCGCTTCCACGAACAGGGAAATTGAGTTTGGATCGCGTTGAACGTCGGAAGATGACTCGACGCGTATACGTTTCTGGTTTTTATCATGGGACGAAGATTTCCTCATTTGCGCGGTGACTGAATGTAAGAAGGTTCTTCACCTTTCTACGTACTATAATTTAATATGGTTATTATTAAAACTAATATGCTCTCTTGAAAATTCGTATCTAATACTAATCAAATTTACAAATTTTTTCGTTAAAAAAAAAAGATCAAATATCGTTGTCCGAAAATTGCGAAGCTGATCATCAAATGATGTAAATAATCATTTGTTTTTTTATATAACTTTTTTAACACGTTGATTGCAAGCACAAAGCACGAGTTAACTGGTTGTTGACCAACTACTGTTCAGCATCCAAAATGAGTAAGTTCGTGGTCTTTACGTTTACATTTGTGGTACTGGGCGCCTGCAATATACTAGTAAAATACATAGGTAGTGTTTTTTGGGTAAAAAATATAATATGGAATATTAAAATATATATTAAATAGTAATTCTTGATACATTTTGACTCATCATTCAAACCAAACCAAACAAATGCCTTGGCAGTGAACGTCTTAATCAGCATCATCATCATCTTCAGCTTGTTCAACCATTTTCAATTATGGTGTAGCCCTTCTCACATATTAAGATTTCTTTATATGTCTATCTACAACTCTCTTTGTAGTTGGGCCCATTGTTGTCTATTGTTGGCTATGAAGACCCGAGTTATCCCAGCGAATTTCCAAATACCATGGTCCAATAACAGGTTTGGTCTTCTTCTAGGTCTCTTAATTCCTCGTAGATACCATGCTGTAATTTTTGTGGTCCATCTGTTGTCCGTCCTTCTTGCCACGTGTCCTGCCCATTGTTAATGAGGGATATGATTCTGTGGATTCTGGTGATCTCTTACCTGGATCTTTTGTAGTATCCACTCTATTCTTTTACGGTGTTCTTTTTTGGTTATTGCCAGCATATTTCGTTCCATTGAACGTTGTGCGACTTGCAGTTTCCTTATAATGTCCGTTTTAAGTGCCCAAGTTTCGCATGCATAGTTCATGACTGGTAGTAGGTACACATTAGTCGATTTTTTTCTTCTTTAGATAAAGTGGCATATTCTAGATATGAATATGATTGAGTTTATTCTATAAGTACTCCATGCTAACTTAAGTCTTATATTAATTTCTGGTAGTAGCCATCCCGAGCTGTGTATTAGTTGTCCCAAATATATCTTTTCTTCTACTATTTTCAGTGTTGTGTTATTTATTAGAATATCTTTATTATCTACTAATTCGTTGTACATTACTTTAGTTTTTGCTAAATTCATTTTGAGACCTACTTTATTGCTGGCTGTATTTAGTTCGTTTATTTGGGATTATACGCTGCATTAAATGTGGAGTATGAAGTGCGCAGATAGAAATAAACTTGGGCGTTTGTTTCAACGGGTTCTTACCCAACAAAAAATTGAATTTCCTTCTATTGAATTTCTATTTTTCTGTGGATAACATGTATTACCTGGGTCTTTTGTCGTGTGCACTCTAAACTTTCATGGTCTTTCTTGGTTATTCCCAGGCATATTTCGTTCCATTGAGCGCCATTATTTTTATCCATTAATTACTTATCCAATATCGTCGTTATTAATGAGCCGTTTTGATGAAGAGCACAACTATGACTTATGAACAAATTATCTAATAAAGGAAAGAAGTAGGTAACGATAGTAAAATAAGTCTAAAAAGATTAAATTAAAAATGCACGGAAACAAATTTCTCTGTGTGTCTTTATTTGATCACAAAATTGACTAACATTATTAAGTAAACCGAAATTAAAGCATTTAAGCAATTGTTGTGATTTCTGATTTAAATATTTCTGTTTATGTAGGTGTTGTAAGAATATTGTGCAAATCTTCATATGGCAAAAATTAAGATTATAAACGTTATAATTTAATTAATCTAAACTAACAGATTATCCGAATTGGTTAGTGATTAACGACAAACATGCCAAAAAGTATGTAGCTAATTTATACTCTTCATCGTACACTACATCATTTGTTTATTCTACTCCTCGTAAACAAACCGGCGCTCGTTTGTTTACCTACTTGCGTTTCCGATCTTCGTTATTTAGTTCGTAAATATTTTCTCTGGAAAGGAGAACAACAACAAAGGTCCTTTTTAAAAAATGAGAAGCTCAAAGCGTTTCTGGTTTGAATAAGCAATTGTACAAAGTACACTTCATTGTCTTTTTTTACAACCTGGGCTTCCGCAAATTAGAACAATGAGCAGTAGTTCACTTGTCAATAATTAGCATGAAGATGGAAAAAATAGTTAATGCACTATAGTCATTGATCAATACTTATTGTATAATTTTAATTGACTCTTGACTGACATTGATTATTTAAAAATACGAATTATTTTTAGATAATTTATTTTTTTAACTGACGCTTCTGCAAATTTAAACAATCAGCAGTATTAGTTTACTTATAAGACACAGTGGCCATTAAAATATCAATGATGGTGTCTGCGATCAGTTTTTCCATATGGCTACGTTACGTCTTTTTTCGGTCATATTGTACAGCTATATATTTCAATTATGGCTTAAAGGAGGAGTGCTGGAGAAAAAATTACTTCAATATTTATGCAATGCATGTAAAAAGATATTTACTTACGTTTTCATCTAAGAGAAATCGGAAAATCTGAAGTCATTACCAAGTACTAAACAGCTATTTATTGGAAGATCTATTAGTAGAAAATGGCGTGTTTTCACCAAATTATTAAACCTAACACGTTCTAAGTAAATAAATATTTAAAACACTTTCAATTTCGTCAGAGTGATATCTTTTGGACAGAACGCAATTTTTTATTTCAGAAAACTGGTATTTTGAATCTAGATTGTTCTCTTTTAGTAAAAATTTACCCAGAAAATAGTAGTTGGTTAGGTGTTTTTTAATAACAAATTAAATCACTTACTATAGTTGACGTCGCCAAAATTATTATCGATTGTCATTCAGCAGTCCAGCAGTCTTTGACGCGTTTTTTTTCGATCCCTATACCATATATAATCTTATGTATGAATAATATACAGGGTGAGTCTTAAATAAGTGCAAATATTTTCAGGGTTCGTAGATCTCGATAAAAGAAACATATTTTCTCTTTAGAGTCGAAAATAACCGAGTTGTTTTACTTCAAAAATTTCCAAAAAAAACGATTTATTGTTTAAATTTTGAGAACCATCGGATCTTTTCTGATTTTTCTTTCCTGTAAATTTAAATTCCTACCTATGTTTTATATTATCAAGAAATTATGTTTTTTAACTAAAAACTAAAAAAAATCCAATTTTTTTTCAAAAAATTCCAAATTTTGAATTTTTTTTTCGCGAAAAAATCCTCATAATCGTGTTTCAGGGGTCAAAATATACTACCCCTATAAATATTTGCACTTATTCAAGACTCACCCTGTATAATCTAGAAGGCTCTAAATGTATTTCTTGAATCCCAACTTCTTTGTTTCAAAACCTCTGCTGAGAAATTTTAAATGACGCTTTCCATTTATCCCATTTTTCATAATTTATACCAAAAATGAGAGGTTTTTCCTCAACGCTAAAAATAAACAAACAGCAAATGGAAAAATGCATGCCAAGATTTCCCTCGGCAGAAATAAATTATTCGAAAAGTAATTAGCGCCGGCCTTATTTGCGCTTCCAGTCAGTTTGGCCAACGTAAATTAATAAATTCCGTTTATCCTCCGAACTAAATGAACTTTCCTACCCCCACCCCATCGTTCGGCGATTGTATTCTGACATAATTAAAACTGAAAACTAGAATAAAGTCGCTGCGATGGTAAATTTGCCCCCCCCCCCTCGGCTCTTCGTAGAATATTCCTCGGTTGCTCGATTTACAAGCTTTACGAAAATTTATGTAATAGGTCCTAAGAAGTTTATTAGCTTGATGGCTTTCGATTAAATTAGCGTCCGTAATGAACATCGCGTGCTAATAACGAATTAATGGTATGTACGTAGGGAAATGATCAGGAAAAAGCTCGGTTAATGCGTCATTAAAAGAGTTGGAAGTATCCTGTTTCTCTTCTTATCTGGCTCTATCAAAAATTCAAAAATGATTATAAAGTATTTATACAGGGTGGTCCGAACTGTATTATTATTCGACGGCATATTCTGATGCAGATAAAAATAATTAAAAAAGTTCGTATAAAAGTATGTCCTAAAATGCTTAGTTTCAGAGATACAGGGTGTAGAAGTTGCATTTTTATTTCGATATTTTTCAAATGATTTCTGAAGTAACGTCAATATTTGGATGAAAATTGCTGTCTGGAAGTTTTTTGACATGATAAGTTTGATTTTGATGTCAATAGTAGTGTAGTGTAGCCACTTACATATTTTTTAACTGGTTTGGAGAGTAATAACTTTTCGTCCGTAACTGTATAAAACTACTAAGTAAAAATACACATTTACGA